CTTCTCCCTCCCCGGTCCTTTCGGTTTCTCCTTTCGGTTTCGGCGGGTCCGACCCTTTCTTCCTTTTTTGTCACGGCTTTTACGACTGGGCTGGTATGAGTGGCGATACGGTTCGCACGCTCCCCAATGGTTACACGTATGTGTTGGTGCACTTCTATTCTTCGGCCGAGGCGAAGGCGAATATCGTGCGTGCTGGCTCACTCTTTCGTGGATGAGTAGCTGATAACCGTGTAGTTGCCGACTGTAATATCTTTCTTCGAGTTATTCGCAACTGTTGGGCTTCTCGTCGCTATCGTGGTGCGTACTCCCATACTACACCGGATATGGGCGCCACTGACCAAGTTCGTCTAGCTATCTGCTGTTTTCACTCGTAACGCCAAGGACTCTAATATCTTTGTACGAACATCGCTTGTATTCTACTTTGTCTCTGTCCTCGCATGCGAGGCTCTATCTGGTGCGTCTGTCCGGCCTGGCATGTCATCGCCTTAAGCTGAATGTCCACTAGCGCTCTCGGGCGTCATGACCGCGACCTGGATCTCAGATATGCAGGTCTTCTCTGGCGGTCTGTGCACGGCACAAGGTGAGTCGATCATCACTCGCGTATAGATGTAGCTGACACGATGTTCAGGCTTCTTCCGTCACTTCTCGGATGTCGGCCTGGCAATCTGGACGGTGGTATGTCGACCTCTCGCCCGGGATCATCGCGCTGCGTTCTTACCATACGCATAGGTCATCACAGTCCAAGCCTTTCTAACCCTATGGCGCGCGCAAGAGTACGCCGACGAGGAAGCCGTATTGCATAAGCTCTCCATCACGATCTACGGCCGCACTATGCCGCGCATCATGTTCTACAAGTGGTTTGTGCTGGCGACTGTATGGTTCTCCATCGGCTTCATCGTCATGCTTGGACCCGCCATTGGGTCCAGCACTGATCATGGCAACTTCTGTGCGTCTATTCGTTTGACGTTGTCGTACGCTGTTGACCTTGTGCCAGACGGTGTCTTCGGAGAGTCTTGCAGTATCACGGCGGGCTATCTTCCCGAAAGCATTGTGTGCGTCACTTCATCCTGTTCTGTTTGTTTCCGTATCCTGACTACTTGCAATGCAGATTCTCGTCCCTCATAGTAAGCCCACTTGCACATGTCGAGGCCATGGTGCAAGATCTCAATCCTTCCTACAGTTCATCGTAGCGGCCTTCACGTCCATCGGCTTGTTCATCTGGATGTCGTTCGTAATCAAGCCGCGATCTTCGGAGTCTAGCGCTGAAGTAGGCTTCGGGGAGAAGGATAAAGCTGGAAAGCTATCTATCGAGGTGGCGCGGTACATGACGTGGTACCCGGTGAGTGCCGGTGTTAATGTGATAGGTTGTCGACTCAAACACACCTGCAGTTCATCTACTTCGTTTGCGTTACGCCCGCTCTTATCGAGACTATGATCTTCTGGTCAGGCGCTGCAATCCCCGTTGGCTACTCCGTGTTTGTGTGCGTGGCTACTCGTTACCTCCTGGGCATGTACTGAATGCTGGTTGTACAGCGATACCGTATACCATCTGATGGGTGCGTTCAGTTCTTAACATGGTCTAAGCGCGTGCTGAACAGTTGTGCATACAGGTATCATCAATGCGTCTATCTTCGTATTCACGCCCCATCCCGGCCCTCTGCTGCCGCATAGACCGGAGTCGCCTCCACCTCCAAGTGCACCGCGTGATCTGAACGCTGAGGCTGAGAAGGTCAAGGCACAAATCGTCGCCGCTGGTGTATCTTTGGGCGGAGAGTCGACGAACATTCCGCCTCCAGCAGGATCCCCTCCGAGTGAACCGAGCCCTCCAAAACGTCGAACTTCGCGCGCGCGCGACCCGCCTTTCCCTCTCCGCTCCGTATCGCCCGAACCTGTGCAGCGGTACACGTCCTTCCGTGATGCTATCAAAGCTCGCGACGAAGAGCTCGGCTTTGCGCCAGTTGGCCCAACAGAAGTTCCAGCAACTACCGTCGAGGAACGGAAGCCGACGCTCGAAGAGCACACAGACGAGCCTCCCCTGAAGCAGGAGAACTCTGTCACCACAAAGAAAGATGATACTCGTGCTGCTATGAAGGCTGCCACGAGGCAATCAGGCGCGCCGTCGAGCATCTACTCCCAAACGTCGCCTCTCCCTGTACCTTCATCCCCTTTGCGCATCACCGTGCCTTCTCGCGGTTTCGTCCGTCCTGGGCGCGATCAACCTTTCCCGATCGTTACTCTACCCAACAACCCAAGACCCAAGGGCGTTGAAGTTCGCATCGAAGGAACGGACAAGCAGCCGGAGGTAAAGGTCGTTGTACAACCACCACCATACAACTCGCCGCCGTCACCGCAGACTGCACCCGCCGTCTTTGACCAAACTCTTGTCGCCGCTGCTCGCGATGCCCCACGATCACCGTCGCCTTCACCAGGAGATACCATTGTTCTCGCACGCTCGAGCTCCCGATTCGCGAAGGAGCAAGAAAAGTGGATGCAACGCGTCGTACGAGAGAGTCGCTCGCTTGTTTCCCGCCGCACTCTTCCCGTCCCGTGGCTTCCTCAACGGCCCAATGGCGAACCTCAGTCTCCCGACTCATTCATGGACGCCGAGGCCGCTGCCATCGAACGCTCGCACTCCGAGCCATCCAACTCGAACCCTGATTCTCCGACCTCGCATCACAAGCGCAAGGTACACTTCGCCTCGCAAAGCTCGACACCGCCTCCCAATGAGTGGTATGTCGGCCTGCTGCAAGCGGCCGGTCTCGGCGCGCGCGTCTCGCGCAACAACAGCAAAACGCAGATCAAGGCGCAGGCAGAGCCGGAAGTCCCTCATTCCGCGCCTCTCCCTCGCAAGGCTGTCACCGACGTCGCGACGGCATGGCGTCCCTACAGGGACGCATTCAAGGCAGCTGGTGCGAGTTCCGCTGCCACTGCCGCACCGACAAGCCCGCAGAGCGCCGCGTCGGACGAAACTTTGCACTCCGCAGAGCCTATGGCTGCGGCATGGCGTCCATACACAGAAACTGTTGTGCGGGCACCTGAAGCGAAGGAGACAGCCGCGACTGTTGAGGCCATCACTCCCGCCGCACCTGAACCGCCAATTGTGTCGGACGCGGACCTCACCAGTAGCCCGGAGTCGACCTTGGATGATGAGGTTCTGACGGCACAGACCGCACGAAGACCACAAGTTCCAGCTCAGAGTGTATTGCTCAAGGCAGTGCAGGCAGAGTCGGAGCGGGAGCTCGACGCAGTGCTAAGTAAGTGGGGCGCAAAGGCTACGAAGAAGCGCGATGCTTCCCCGCGGCGGGTTCATGGTCAAGATGCAACACCGCAGGGTGCCGAGGGTGCACAAGATGCCATTGCGTCGGCGACGGGCGACTATGGAATGGAGACAGCATGGGTGTGTAGGGAGGTACCGGGTGAAGAGGGAGTCTGGGAGTGCGAAGAGCGAATCGTAGATTCTTACTTGGACAGATCAGGAGGTAGCTTGCCTCGCGATGGACTCACTGCGTAGCACATTTTGTATGATATCACTTGTTCAGACGCTCGATTAGGTCCTGCATAGTGCTTTCGTTTACAGGGAGCGGACACAATTGATACACGGGAACATCGGCATGGATAACCTATGAGCATCACTTCGCAGTTCGTTCACGCTTTCGAAGTACATGCCAGGATAGTACACACATGAGGAAACACAGCAGCCAACATTCATTAGAATGTGGAGGTTCGCGCGCGCTTGAGGGGTCTCGAGCCGTCAGACTCCTGCGACGATATAGCCTGCAGTCTGGCAGAGCGGCGTCGTGGTATTGGAAGTGCGGCTGTCAGCGTAGCACCAGGTGTAGTACTCGGCTCAACCACGTCGTAGTCCTCCGGCGTACGCTCGCGAGCCTTGCGCTTCTTGCCCGCTACCGCTGGCGTTGACGACGAGGCTACCGGCTCGGCCTCGACAACGGGTGCAGGGCATCGCATGGCGAGGAAAACCTCGTGCTGTTTGAGAGCCTGGGGGTTACCTTCGATGAAAGCGCGGAGGTCGTCCACTGCGAAGGGTAGAGCGGCGCACTCAGCGAGCGCGCTGACGACGAGCGAGCTAAACTGATATCAGCGTAGTGCCCTTTTACCCGATCGCGGAACGCACATGACGGCAACCTCGTCTGAGGGACAATCGGAGACTTGGTACTTCGACATCGTCTGCAGGATGTCGATAGCGCTGTAGCCCTGGTACCACATGACGTATGCATGATACTCATTGTCGGTGAGCCCCGAAGGCGCAGTGTGCTGCGCGAGAGGATACGAGTCCGGGAACTCGTAGGGTACGACCGTATCCAGATTAACAACGTGCCCGCAATTGGATAAATTAATGTTGCCCGCTTTGGCTCGATCACTGAGAAGTTTGTAAACTTCCCAGGCACAGTGGGCATCGCACGCGGCGTCTATGCATTCAGATCAACATACAGATCGGTGAAGCAATCGTAGAGTGTGCGTACACTCGCGTTGTTCTTCGGTCAACGGCCGTCGCTCCCAGTTCCCAATCCTCACGGGCCCCTTAGGAAGCACTTGGCCCAAGAAGTGTACCACCGTCTTCGCAAGGGATGTGCCTCTGGGTCGATTGAAATATCTGAAGCGCTCGTCGACCCGCCATGCTAGAGGGCCGAGGTTGACCAAGTTCTTCGCCGAAACGTTGTAGTCATTCTTCAAGCCTGTGCCATCGCCTGCGGAAGTGAGATACAAGCGTAACAATGACAGTAAATAGCGCACCTTCAACAAATACTCCTACTTTCGCCACTGTGGCGTCCTCGAGAAGGGCCTGAAGAATGCAAACGTTGGTCAATAGGTCACACATCTTCAGTGCCCGTACAAGCGCACCTTCAGCCGAGAAGGGAACTCTGCGAAAGATGGTGAGCGCGTAAACGGGCACAACTGAGGAGAACGCACCTGGCATTGCGCTAACATGGATCAGGAGTACTTTGGACCCATTGCTAAGTTGGACGAGGGCGATACGATTGGACGCCGGCATACACTTCCACTCGCAGTCAAAACCATATGGGCTAGCCAAGCCATGTTCGGATCTACGGGTAGCATATACAAATCATTCGCGCGTACCCTTCGAAGTCAGCGAGTGCTGCGTCTAACTCTTGGACTGTGGCGATGTACAGCACTGCGGGTACGGGACTCCGGCTAGCAATGGTATAGTCTGGAGGTGATACATGTTGAGCAGCTTGAATAGTATACGAGCGCGAAAGCGCATTCGTCATGTTCGGAGAGGGTACAATGCGAATACGGCGACAAGAATCTTAATAGTCGAGATTATGTTGTGGCGTCGCGGACGTCGACGTAATTTGGACACACCAGACAAGACAAGCCAGAGGGAAGGAAGGAGAGATTATAGATACAGATAGAATTGAGCACAGCAGAAACTACAACGACGCGATGAGCGTAGTGGTGGTGGTAGGAAGGCAAGACGCGTGCGAGTCGTAGTTGCCCCTATTACGCGTGCGGCGTGATGCCGCAAAGCTCTCGAGTTTACCACCACCACCATGTTCACGCTGCCCGAATGTACTCAGCTTGCATACATATCTTGATGCTCTAGGGTTGCTTTGGCCAGCTTAATGGTTCAACTACGACGTTCAGGTCGTGAATGGTCCTCAACGCGGAGGTTCATCCCGATAACACACTCGCATCATCACCTGTTCATGCTCTCAGTCGCGCGCGCGCTACTCGCCCAAACAAATGTATCACCGGAGAAGAGCATCATAAATGAATTTCCGCGATGCTCGGCACACACGCCATGCGACGACGGGGTTTGAGAAGCTGCGCGGCCTCTTGAACGGTCGCTGTACTTGGCGTTCGCACTGGATGTGCATCTTGACAGAGATTCACCGATACCGCTCATGGAGGTTCTACCTCGCGGTACGAATGTTATCTCGTTCGACCAACCGCTTCCAGCGACTCTTTGCGCTGCAGAAGTTATACTTCGAAGGCTCTCTGGAGACTGGGTCGTCGCGTTCAGTCAGTCGCGGATTTCAATAGGGCGAAGGGCAAGGGCAAGCCTTGCGCCTAGTTACGCAGGATCGACCCTCAACACGGTGCCGGCCTCAAATTAGAAGCAGGCAGGCCAGATCCTTCTACGACTCGGACCACGGCGGCAATGCACTACCTGGCAGCGACGCGCTCAGCAGGAGCCCTCGAAGTTCATCGCGCACGTTCTTTGAGAGTCGCAAATTGCAGCGTCGTCAATACGGACGTGAACGATACTTCCAACAAGTTTTTGGGGAGCGCGAGGGATGGTCGGGACGGTACGAAAACAACAACGCCAAGATGGCCCTTAGGACTCAAGCCCGTCGTGCGCACCTTCTTTGGTCGCGCCTCCTTCGCATCTCCACTGTGTGTCGTCCATTCCCCCGTCGCATACCTCCCGCACTCACATATACGCTGCACCGACGTGATGCTACCACGGCGCGCGCGCACCTCAACAGTCACGGCGTCGAAGCGTTCGGGTCTACCGTGTATGACCCTTGGTTCGTACCGTCTAGATGCTGTCGTTGGTAACACCTTCGCGCGGAGGGACCGGTCAAATGCTCAGTGGATGAAGACCAACAGGCCAATGGTTGTGGGGATTCTCAGGACGTCTTCGTAGTCACAGTGTTTCTCGCACATCGAATACATGCTTATATGATGCTTATATATACAAAGTCCGTACATGACAAGAGAGAGAGAACTAGCCGCCGGATGGCAACGCGGGGCTGAGCAGGGAAATTGAGAACTCAGCCACAAATCGCGTAGCGACGACGGCGCGCACCCGGACAGTATGGGCACGATCCTTCGTTGTGCCTAGAACTCCGAGGCCACAAGGACTTCAGATGCTCGGTCGCGGCGCGAAGAGTCTCGTACAGAGTGGTGTAACGGAGCGCGCGTTCGCGCTCCTTGGAACCGTCCCTTTCACATAAGTCCGCCCAGATGTGCTCCGATGCCGCCCAATTGGCGACGGCGGTCAACATGCGCTCATGCGCTCGGACGGCGCGAATGAGTTCGTTGCGCTGCACCTGCTGGAATTGGGCAAGACCATACTGAAAAGACCCGTTGAGTTCGGCGATCGCCCAGTCCATCTCCGCGACGCTGAGGCCTGTCGGCCAAAATTCCACGGGGTAGGTTTTTTCGATCGTGTCGCATGTCCACGGGTACAAATGATGGATATCATCACACGCCTGCATTTCCATGGGGGAGCGCCTTGTATCGTTGGACCTCTCTCTGCAGATGTAAAGATATGCCGCATAGAAGCCTTGATTCATCAGGTCTTTCGTCGTAAAGCACGAAATTGACTTGTTGCTGTTTATGTGCTCAGTCACTCAATCATAACTCAGGCGATCCGAAGCATACCTCGGCGACACCAAAGCGTCATTCAACCATGGAGGGCAAATGACAGTAGGCGAAGAAGCCAATACAGCATTGTCGCTGGGATTTATGAGCGAACGTGTTCCCGTAGAAAGGTGCAAGACGAAACCCACTGGCTGGAATAGACGTCATCCGGTTTGGGAATCATCTTGAAGTGCTCGCTGCATCTCGTAAGACGACATGAGCGTAAGCAGATAAAACGGATGACTCACTTGACGTGGTCCAAATACTGGCTCATAGCGATGGGCGATCTGGGTCGAGGGGTGAGTGAGTTCGGTTCTTACCAGGATGAGCAGCGCTATTTATTCCTTCGAGAGGCGGCCACAACCTGAATATGGAGATCATGATCGAAGGCAACCACAACCACCACAACGACCGGTACAATCGACCTCCGCGGCGCGCAGACGGCATCGAGTGTCTCATGTGGCGCGCTAAGGAGACGACTGCCTATTATTTCTATTGGACACACCACAGCACGCGTCGATGAACGGCGAGCAGGATACGATAAGTGTTGCATTGCTTGAACCGTAACAGACCTGAATGTAGATCTGTCAGGAAAAACCATAACAAGAGAAGGTGGGTAGTTGGTGCGTACGTATCGGTCCCAGCAGAGTTCAACGGCGTCCCTCCACCAATTCAAGGTACAGCCGTGGTTTGAATACACCACCGAACACACATTGGCAGCCGCACGCCACGTTTCTTCATCATGGTAAGCTGCTAGGCGACTCAAAGTGCAGGCAGCAGACTGAAGTCGTGGCGTCGTGCTGCTGCAGCATTGGACGAAAGCGGAGTGAAGAACCCAGAGCCGGCAGCACGGCACTGATCACGCAGTGATGGTGCGGCTTCAGCAGCAAAGTGAATAAACAGTTGCAGCGAATATTATTGTGAGCAACTTCCAGTAAGGTCCGTGATGGATGTAGGACGAGAAGAGCGCATCGCCGCGTTCTCCCCGCGCGCGTGTGGACTTCGCACTTCTATCTCTCACCATCACCACTACCACCACCACCGGTCTTTACGATGCTAAATAGCTTCCCAGAACTATGCGTCGCCCGCCAATATCTTACACACTGCATTGACGTGTAGCGCAGCGCCTGCATTGAACGCCATCTGGACCGACGAGTTCATTTTCACGACGATCGCGGACCCCCGCCTTGGTCAGTACGGCTCGAAGACCGGGATCGTATCTTCGCAAACGTGCACTCCCTCTACTACTACCCTCTCATCGGTGCAATAGTGCGTATATAGCCTTTACAAAATGCTTTCCCAACCTTTGAACTGACGAACTATTAAGTACCTGCAAGCTCGCAGTAACTGGGCTCAAATGCTGGGATTATCGAGGACCCTGGTCTGCGTGGACATAGCGGGGTTGGTTTCTCGCCGAGGTGAAGCGGAGTTCCATGTACGGACGAGCCTAGCTAGATCCTAGGTGCGTCACGCTCTCTATCGCAAATTATGCTCTGTACTCATACTATCTGCGTAGTAGGCCGCGTTATGTCATCGTCAACACCATCGAGGGTGCACTCGGCACGTACAAAGTCCCATATATCATTCCTGTTTCTCCGCGGAAACTCGCACAAGCTTGCCAAAGGCTGTCTCGTCGCCGGCCGCGGCATGAACGCTACCGCCGCCCACATCTACATCCGCGGCGAGCTCATTCAAGAAGCGCGCCACCTCCAGCAAACTATCGACGAGGCGTACAAAGCCGGTTTCATCGGAAGGGACGCTTGCGGTTCCGACTGACTTGACGTGTACCGTCGCCGCGGAGCTGGCGCGTATATCTGCGGAGAGGAGACGGAGCTTACTGCGAGAAGCGAGGGGAAGCAGGGAAGGCTGCGTTTGAAGCCGCCGTTTGCGGCTGACGTCGGCTTGTCTGGTTGCTCGACCGCCGCCGCAAACGTCGAGACTGTCGCCGTTGCACCTACCATTGCACGGCGCGGCAGGGCGTGGTCTGCGGGCTTCGGACGCGAGCGTCACCCGTGCACCAAGCTATTCTGTGTCTCGGGCCACGTCAACGGCCCGTGCGTCGATGAGGAGGAGATTTCGATCCCGTTGAAGGATCTCATCGAGAAGTACCGCGGTGGTGTACGCGGTGGAGGGGAGAACTTGTTGGTTATCGTACCGGGTGGCTCGTCCGTGCCGATTATTCCAAAGAATACTTGCGCGCAGGTCCTGATGGACGACGACTCGCTCACGGACGCGCAGACCGGTCTTGAGACGGGTGCTGTCATTGTCATGGCCAAGTCCACCGACCTCGTCGCCGCCATTGCCCGCTTCGCTCCCGTACGTCTGATTTCGCTTATTTATCCGCGCTCATCTGTTTATCTCATGTCTTTTCATAGTTCTACAAGCACGAGTCGTGTGTCGCGAGGGCGCGAGGGCACAACCTGGACGATGAACGTGATGGACAGGTTCAGGGGAGGACCGGTACATTTTCTTCATCCTCTATTTCCTTCGAACTCGTCACTGACACATCTCTACAGCAAATGCGCACGCAAAATCGGCATGCTCCTCGAACTCTCCAAGCAGGCCGAAGGCTGCACAATCTATGCCCGCGGCGACGCAGCAACCTGGCCCATGCGCCATCCCCGCCCGCTCGCCGAGAACCGTATCTCCCGCTTCCGCGCCACGAACCGTCTGGTTATGTTCGGTGGACGGCTCGCGACACATGTGGACCTCCGGATGGCGTTGCCGGATAATTCGGGCGCGAGGTTGAAGGAGGTTCGGGCACCGCCGACCCTGTGGGTTGTAGAGTTCAGTAGCGTATGTTGTTGGGGTGGCCTAATACAGCTTTTTATTGCCATTTGGTTTCTTTTGACGCCCCGCCTGCGGTCTTCGCGCCGGTGAAGGCTTGAGGGTACTATTTACAAACATAAACTCACTCAGTTCTCGCGCTCGCGCTCTGTGAGGCTGACAGTCAGTATGTCATTGTGATATGGGCGCATACCTGGGCGGCGAGCACAATATCTCAGCCGCCTATAGCACACCTCACCCTCTCGCGCTGTGGGCTCCACGCCAGAAAACACCGGGAGCCTGCGTGCACAACCTCAGCCGTATCTGTTGCGCAAAGTGCTCGCATGCGCGCTCGCGCCTGTATCCGCTGCTCATGCGGGTTGTGGCGCCAGCGTTATGACCGTGCTCAGACCTCATAATATTTCAGAGGCTAGGAACGCCGGAGAACAAATTGATTCGTTGTTCATTCGTTACAATAAAGACATGTACGCATAACCTACTCGTATCGTCACGATGAAGTCGAAAGGCCGCCGTCTTAGGGAGATTGACATGTAGAGGTTAGGAGTGGGGCACAGGCGGGTTACGGGGAGGGGAAGGAGCGTCTCTGGAGATATAATAGACCATTCGTTGACTACATCGGAATGTGTGGGCGGCGCGCGCGACCCCGAGATGCTCGGTACGAGCAGTTGAGGGCGTTCGAGGACGGCGAGGGTGTGGGGGCGGTGAGTACTTGAGACAAGCTTGCTCGAGCGCAGGGACGCGTTCACACAGGTTCACACTCGGATGTGCGCTTGGCGCGTCGGCGAGCGGGCGCCGCACCTTGACTTCGTACCACCATGGCTCCGTCACGCTGCCGCCTCGCTCTACCGGATACATCCTGGCGCTGACGCACTCTTTCCATACTGTATGCTCGCAATATCCGCATATATTGTTCGCTCTGCGATGCCACGCCGAGGGCTTGGCACCTTGCCCGTGCATGAGTCATGTCACAGCGCCGGAGCTCTACGACGTGAAGACCTGATTTGGACCTCTACGTCCGGTAAGCAATACATCTCGCGCTCTACCGACACAGCGTCCTCATGTGTTCGCGTCCGCTAGGTCTTAAGAGTGTCAGTCTTTGACCGACGTGCCCGTGTACCCAACGGCTCCACTTCACGCTGCGACTCTGTCAACTATTGTGCCAGCACAGCAGTCTGTCTTCTGCGCTTTTGCACTATCGGTCTGGCACTCTCTAGAAGGACGAGGGACGCTTTTCGCGTGCGAGTGGTTACCTTAGACGAGTTCGCTTGGTCGGGTTCATGGCGTGAGTCTTCGCTCGTGAACTGCATCCATTCCGCCTCTACCGTCCTCCACGTCAAGGCCCAAGCCCGTACACGTTCTGCCATGCTGACGCAACTTTCATTCTTACAGTATATATCGATGGCGCCAACTTCGACTGCAGCGCCGCTCGACGGACCTCGCGGGCCCGCGCACCACAGTCTCCATGCGCTCCAGACCGAAAGAACGAATTGTGCGCCGCTATCGAAGTACACCACGGTCAAGCCCATCAGCACAGGTCGGCATGCGCTCTGCGACTTCTTCATGGTCTTGTGCGCTTCGCACACGTTCTGAACCGGCCCTTGGGTGGGCGCTACAGTCCGTGCATCTCGCTCGCTGTTCGGGTGCTGCATCCGGCCGAGCGACTTAATCAATGACGGCGGCATTCGGCCTGACGCCAACTAGTACAACACCGTTCGCGACTGCCGCATACACTTCTCGGACGACATCCGCGCCGACATTAGACGTTCCCGACACATTCATTCAGCGTCAAAAGGGATCAACACCGGCCCTCACGGTGTCATGGCGAGTCCGAATAAGGTCCCCGAGTGTGTGCGCTACACGCCGGGCGACTTATGCGCGGGCCATCTGGACTACGCGAAATCTAGCGGCAAGCGGGGCCTTCGAACGGCCGCGAGGCGTTCATTGGATGATGTGCTCCTCATCGCGCTGCCGCCTCTAGTCGTTCGCTATTCACCGGAACCCAGTCCGAACGCTTGGCGACAGCATCATCCCCGTTGAAGCCGCTCAACGGCGGGGTCTCCGGAGATGTCCGCCCTTCGGCGGGGACCGCTAGTGGCCACTGGCTAGTACGATGGGCGAGCGTTTCGCGACCAACGTCCGCGATCGCGATAGGTCGGCTTATAAATACGGTCGCGATCAGCAACCGGCGCAATAGTACTTTCGGGTGCGAGCGGGTGAAGGCGCACCTGTGTGAGATAGCTCCTTTCCCGAGCGCTAACGGGCTCAATCTCAGACGCGACACGCTTCGCCGGTACTGGCAATAGTTCAATGCGGTCATCACGGCACACTGCACGAGCGGATCGCGCCCAAAGGCGATTGGACGGACGGGGGCCAATGCTAGTCTCTTCGCTCGCCGTTGGATCGGGAGGGTTCAGTTCTGCATTCGATTTTCCGTGCACTGATATACGTATTGCCGATAGAATAGACAAAATAATAGTAAAATTAAAATGCCACGTGAAAATGAGACTCGCACGCGACTGCGCTCGAGATAGTGCAATAATCACTGAAAGAGACGATAAGGGACGCGAGTCAAGACATGTGAAGGGAAGTGCACGAAGCTTAGGGTATGTGAGCGGTGTGTACGGTACAAAGCGGGGGGAGTAGAGTGTGTGATACGAGATGGAAGTAAGTATAGACTGTAGTGTAGACCCGGGCGAGTCCGGCATCAAACACGGTAGCTTTGCCAGTGCGAAAGAAGTCCGCGGAGGGTAAGAGATAGCTTCGGAGGCGTAAAAGCAAGAGTTCGAGCGCCAGGATAGGAGACTAGCTTGAGATATGCAGATCACGAGTCAGGTAGCAAGCCAGTTGAGTCAGAAAGCGACGGTCGGGAGTCGGGAATGTCAAGTGAAGTGTGTGGAGTGAAGTGTGAATTAGCTGTTCAGGTACTGTGTGAGGGAGTAAAGCGAGATGCGGGTCATGTCGATGGAGTATATGCACCGTGAAGTGTCAAACGGAGTGCTCCGCATCACAGGACAGTTACAGAGCACAGTGCAGATCACCAGTCATCGTTTGGCGGGTGTCGGAATGTCCGCAGAAGCACGTCACTGCTCGGACAGTGCGCTCTGGGTGTCAACGCTCGAGTACAAGATGGTGTTGGTTGCGTATCACGGACTGACGGTCACAGGGATTCTGGACAAGCGCTCAGTCGGTGCTACGGATGAGATATCCAAGCCGAAACGTGACGATTCAATCAAGACTCGGCTGTCTACGTCCGAGCTTGAGTGCAATAATCACTGAAAGAGACGATAAGGGACGCGAGTCAAGACATGTGAAG